CGTACGTCCATGATGCATGCGGCTGCCCCCCATTTTCTGTGGCCGTTTGCGGTTCGGTACGCGGCGCATCAGATCAACCTTCACCCCAGGGTCTCCCGGCCGGAGACCTCCCCAGCTCTGCTGTGGACGGGGAAGGTCGGCGATGCGTCTGCGTTCCGTGTCTGGGGATCTCGGGCGTTTGTCCGCGACTTGTCTGCGGACAAGCTGTCCCCTCGTGCTGCTCCCTGTGTCTTCCTCGGCTTCCCCCCTGACGCCCCAGGGTGGCAGTTCTACCACCCCTCCTCTCGTCGTGTTCTGTCCTCCCAGGACGTCACGTTCGACGAGTCAGTCCCCTTCTACCGCCTCTTCCCCTACCGCACTCCTTCCCTCCCCCCGCCACCGCACTTCCTTGTGCCAGGTCCCCCCCCGGTAGACCCCCTTCCCCCTCAGGGTCCTGCCCCTTCAGGTGTGTCCCAGGTAGACGCAGTCGAGCCGGTCGAGGTTGCTGGTGACTCTGGTCCTGCTGCGGGTACTGAGCCTGGGGGTGCTGACTCTGGGGGTGCTACGCGCGTGGGTGCTGAGCCTGGGGGTGCTGAGCCTGGGGGTGCTGAGTCTGGGGGTGCTGAGCCTGGGGGTACTGCGACTGGGGGTGCTGAGCCTGGGGGTGCGGAGTCTGGGGGTGCTGAGCCTGGGGGTGCTGCGACTGGGGGTGCTGAGCCAGGGGGTGCTGCGTCTGGAGCTGCTGAGCCTGGAGCTGCGGAGCCTGCGGCCACTGGACCTCCCCTTGTGGCGTCTGGCGGTGCGGGACCTGGCGGTTCTCCGGGTGCTTCGCCTCGGCGGGAGCCCCTCTCTCCACAGGAGCTGCGCGAGTGGTTTGCTCGCCGCTGGAGACGTACTGCTGGAGCTGGAGCTCCTTCGGCTGCTGAGGGTACTTGTGCCGCTGGTCCCGGAGCTGCTGGGCCCTCGGGTCCGCCTGGAGCTGGAGCTGCTGCGGGTGTTGGTGCTGAGACTGCTGCTGTCCTTCCTGGCGGTGGTCCTGCTGCGGGTGCTGCTGGTGCTGCTGGAGGTCCTGCCGCTGGAGGTGCTGTTGGCGCTGGTGCTGCTGCTGAGGGTGCTGTCCCTGCTGTGTCTGGAGTCGCCGCGCGGCCTCGGCCGTACTTCGTTCCACTCCTACAGCAGGTTCTTGGTCTTTCTCCTCCTGCAGCGTGTCCACCGCCTGTTCAGTCACAGTCCCAGTTAGAGCCCGCCTCCCCACTTCCTGCTCCCTCTCCTTACACTGGTCCCACTGGAGGTCTTGCTGAGCGACGTGAGCCTGCGTCTCGTCCTGCGTCGCCTGTTCGTGCTGCTCGCGCTAGTGGTCGCGGTTCGCGTCAGCGTCCTCCTCCTGTCCCTGGCACGCACCGGATGTCTTTGCGTCCGTCCACTGCTCCTCTGCGTGCCCCTTTGCCTTCTCCTCCTGAGTCCTCCCTTCCTGCACTTACCGACCCAGAGTCCGACTCTCTTCGTGCTGCTAGTCCTACTGTCACACGTCTCCTTGCTACTGTCGTCACTGACCCCTCTTTTGAGTCCACTGCTGCGTCTACGCTTGTTGCTGAGCTCGTCGACTTTGCTGCTCGCTGTCGTCTAGACTACGCTGCCGGTCTTGTTGCTGAGTCTGCGTCTGTCTGTCCTCCGTCCGTCGGGGGTGAGTGTGCTCTTGGCACGGACGTCCTTGAGGACAGGTAGGAGGAGTTCCAGTGTCTGGCTGCTGCTTCACCTCATCTCGCGTCCGTACTACTTTCCCCTGAGGGAGACCCGGATGCACTAGACATCCCGACTCCGCGCTCTTACGCGGAGGCCGTAGAGGGTCCCTACTCCTCTCAGTGGCAGGTAGCTATGGATGCAGAGATGGCGTCCTGGAAGTCCACAGGCACCTACGTTGACGCGGTGCCCCCTCCTGGGGCGAACATCGTCAGTGGCATGTGGATCTTCAGGGTGAAGCGGCCGCCGGGCTCTCCACCTGTCTTCAAGGCGCGGTACGTCGCTCGTGGCTTCAGTCAGCGGCAGGGAGTTGACTACTTTCAGACCTTCTCTCCCACCCCGAAGATGACCACTCTTCGGGTGTTGCTGCACATAGCCGCTCAGCGCGACTACGAGCTCCACTCTCTTGACTTCAGCACTGCTTTCTTGCAGGGTAGCCTGCATGAGGAGATCTGGCTGCGCCGTCCACCTGGCTTCACTGGGAATTTCCCTCCTGGCACCCAGTGGAGCCTCCGACGGCCAGTCTACGGTCTCTGCCAGGCACCGCGTGAGTGGCACGACACACTGAGGACTACGCTTGCGGCTCTTGGGTTTGCTCCCTCTACTGCTGACCCGTCGTTGTTTCTGCGCACCGACACTTCTTTGCCGCCGTTCTACATCCTCGTGTACGTCGACGACTTGGTCTTTGCCACAGCTGACACTGCTGGACTAGCCTACGTGAAGTCCGAGCTGCAGAAGAGACACACGTGCACAGACCTGGGTGAACTGCGCAGCTACCTTGGCTTGCAGATCACTCGGGACAGAGCACGCCGCACCATTACCTTGACTCAGTCACACATGGTGCAGCAGGTCCTTCAGCGCTTCGGCTTCACGTACTCCTCGCCTCAGGCCACTCCTCTGTCTACTCGCCACTCGCTCTCAGCTCTGCCTTCGGATGAGTCCGTAGAGTCGAGTGGCCCGTACCCAGAGCTTGTTGGCTGCCTCATGTACCTGATGACCTGCACACGACCTGACCTTGCATACCCTCTTAGCATTCTTGCACGCTATGTTGCTCCTGGGAGACACCGACCAGAGCACATGGCTGCAGCGAAGAGGGTGTTGCGCTACTTGTTCAGTACGTCGGGCATGGGGCTAGTGCTTGGAGGGCGGAGTCCAGTGGTCCTCACTGGGCACGCGGACGCTTCTTGGGCTGACGACCAGGCTACGCAGCGGTCGTCGCAGGGTTACACCTTCAGTCTTGGTTCCGGCTCTGTCTCGTGGCGGGCTACTCGCTCGTCCTCTGTTCTCGGCTCCAGTTGTGAGGCTGAGATCTACGCCGGGGCCATGGCTGCACAGGAGCTTCGCTGGCTCACCTACCTGCTGACTGACCTTGGAGAGCAGCCTCGTTCTCCTCCAGTGCTGTACGTAGACAACAAGGCCATGCTGGCCTTGTGTCGAGAGCAGCGCTTGGAGCACAGAACGAAGCACATTGCTCTCCGTTACTTTCTTGCTCGTCAGCTGCAGCAGCGTGGTCAGTTGCGACTTGCGTACGTGGCCTCTGAGGCCAACACTGCTGATGTGTTCACCAAGGCACTTGCGCCTTGTGACCATCAGCGCTTCTGCACTCAGTTGGGTCTTGTACCTGTCTTGCCTCACTTGCTCTCCTCTTGACCTTGCTTGTACTGTCACATATATATACCTGCTCTTGCTTGTCTAGCTCTATATATATATGTGTCCTCCTGCATGTGAACTGGCCTTGTGGCCTTGTCGTTGTGCTCGGACTGTGTGGTGACTTTGTGATCCACCCTGAGCTTGCTGTGCTTTGCGTGACTGGTCTTGTGACCCCTTGTTCTCCCCCACTTTGCCTATGGGGGTGTGTCAGAACATTATATAGCTTATGCTGTTGTGTAGGCTATAGTGGGGTATCCCATAGGGGGTACAACCCAATTAGGGTTTCCTATATGTACTCACTTCATTCATAGTTCATTCATTCGCGTTCTCCTTCCCACACTGTCAGGAGTGCACAGTAACACTTCATCTTTTATCATTTGTAGCATAGATCAGTGCAATACTTGCAAAAAAAAAAACGTAAACATGTTTTAGATAAAACATGGTACATGGTAAATTTGAAAATGCATGTGTGCGCGATATGTTGACGGGAAAATAATTTCCGATGTGCGATCCTGCAAGAGCATGAGGTCCTCGAACTGACATTATCAAAGTGGATATTGTTAAAATTGAATGGCATTGAAAATCGAAATGTCTATGGGCCATGGCGGAGAGGGAAACTAGGGCGATTTTCATGTGAGCTTGAGTGTGAGTGCAATTCTTAGTTCTCCACAACGGTGAAAGCCTGGGGGGAATGTATTTGGCAGGGAATGCATTAAATTTTAAAATGTATGCTATTAGTAAGCTCTGTTTTATCAGTTTCTATTTTGTTTATCTAGTCGAAGTGCTGGCAGTTCTGCACACCTACCACCTGCTTCGTGCCATGAAAGTGGGGACTTGTGAGGTCTATTCCCTGAACGCCCTGATGTCTCGGAACGTCATTGGTTGACGGACGTCTCAGGAATTTCTTATTGGTTTCATCGGCCACAGTGGCAGCTGGTAACCCTTCCGCTCGCAGCATATTCTCTGCGTACTGGGAACTCTCCCGAGGCGCGTTGGGAGGCCCAGCGTATCGACGGAGGGAGCTGCTTTCTTGTGCAGTCGGCCAATCACTCCCTCGAGTGGATCCTCGCAACGCCATGCCTGCCACCTAAATTGTTGTGAGCTCGCAGCTAGCTGAGTGTGCCACTTCACCAGGCACGACAACCAGATCTCCCAAACTGGCGCGCAGGACCTGGTTTCTGTTTCAGCCTCATAATCTCGCCAGTCCAGCTGATATCTCTTCCCCCGATACTCATTCGGCCTAGCTAACCGTGCAACGCGCCTTTGTCGCTGGCCCTCTCGACATCTCGGATTTTTAGTCCAGTGGCAGCAGCAGCAGCAGCAGCAGCAGGTGCGTTGCCGGTATGGGGTTTTGGAACAATTTCGGTCGGATCACGAGCATAAACCGTGATCACGGTGACAGCACCAGCAGGTGTACCGAATGCATCACTGGAATCGATACTTTCAGCACTGATGGCGGTCCAGATGTCAGCGGCTTGCACCACAGAAAGGCTTTAGATCTCGCGAGCGTGCAGCAAAGCGTGGCGGCGTCAGGATGGGCTGAGGGGCTGAAGTCCGTCGATGTGCGCGACGGGAAAGCGTGGATTGCGGAGCCCTCGCTGTTTGCCGGTGCCGCGGCCCCGGTTGACAGCATGTCATCGTTGGGCTTGGCGGAGGACGGCGAGGGGGCGCTGTATTCCGCCACGGCCGATTGCCTGCACGTGCAGCAGATTGACGACCTCGATCGCGCTGCTGCTGGTGCGCCTAGCATGTCCCTCGCTCGCTTGTTCATTTGATCATACGGCTTGTTGTCGATTGGTACGCGTAGGCGCCATTGCTAGCTGGTCGTCTTGAAGCGTCCGTTCCAGGGAAAGGAGTTCGGCGCTTTCACCCGCTCTTCCACCCGCTCTTCCACCCGTTCTTCCACCCGCTCTTCCACCCGCTCTTCCACCCTCTCTTTCGTCTTTCCTTCTCAGCGAGCGCGCTCGTATCTTGTGACGCTGACAGCACCGCCCGCAGTAGGTGGCGCTTGTGGAGCCGTGGGCTTCTGGGCGGCCTTCTGGGCGTTGCAGCTTTGAGAGCACGCGGCTCGCAACCCGAGTGGTGGAAAAAGGGAGGGTGCCAGAAGTGGCGACGAAGTGAGTATGAGAGCGCACCAGGAGTGGGGCATGTCTAGGATTGACGCGGCAGGCGAGCCACTGAGGCGGACCGCGCTGTTAGTACCTCGTTGCATCCTTGCTAGTGATCCCCGTCGAGTAAATTTCATGAGAGGAGCTGCAGCAGCAATTTCCCGCTACGTACCCCTCATCTCTCTCCCCCTCTCTGTCGTTTCCGCTATCCTCATGCCTTGTGTGCCACCCCGCGCCCGACGATGGAGCGCAGGGGACCAGCGACCCGTGGAGAAAGCACTGAACATTATCTCCTGCGCGCCTTTCTTTCTCGTCGCCCTTAACACTCCAAGGTCTCTCCTCCTGCCCCTCGCCCTCCCCCCAATCCCCCTCCTTCCCCCACCATTTTTTTTTTACAAGCTCTCTTTCTTGCGCGGCGTGCTGATTCATTGGTGCATCATAGTAAGCCTGGCCTCTTTCCAGCCCGCTGTGTAGCTGTCCCCCGTGCGCACCCACCCACTCTCCCTCCGTCACCCCACTTGCTGTCGACCCCCATCACGCGTGTGTGCAGGGCGAGCGAGTGTCCCAAGGCCCGTCTGTACAGCCAGTCAGTGATGGGCATTGGTGCGGCGGCCATGGCGTACCATGCGTCATCGGGGCCCATTTCCCGCCCCATTCTCCACTGGCTCGACTGCACCATGATTGCTCTCTCCACTCTCGTACGTCACCTCGCTGCACCCTTCACGTCCTGCTCCCTCATGCTGATCATATGCGTGTGTATGTGTCTCACCCATACACTTCTAGCCTGGCTTCCACAACCAGCTTCGAGAACGGCTAGATTTGACTAACTTTGCACCGCTCCCAGAGGAAAGACTTACCACTGGTTCCCTCCTCTATGCACCCACTCCCCATGGCGCTTGTGCATTCACTGCTCTCGCTGCAGTGCTTTTCGCGAGCAGTCCTGCCTGAGGACGAGCATTCAGCGGCGCTCTTGGCGGTGTCCACAGCCATGGTGCCGGTGCGCCCGTCCCTTGTCATGGGCCTGCACTGGAGCCTTCTTGAGGTATGCACCTCTTCATCATGCACGCATCTGCCCACATTCTTGTTTACATGGCTCCGAGCGTAAAATACATATTACTCTCGCGCACTTCCCGAAACCCTTTCCACAGGCCAATTTCTGGAGGAGGTCTCGAGGGGACCCTTCACTGGCGCGAGCGCATTCACTGCACGCTGCCACAGCGGTGACGGCAGGCGCTGCCATGCTGGCGGACAAGACGGTGGCGCACCACCCTGCCGTGCACGCGCTGTGGCACGTCGTGGCTGCTGGTGTGCTCCACACTGCTAACGTGCTGCTCACCCCTCCCATTTCTCTTTCAAGCTAATGTACACAGAAATACTAAATCATTTTTTATCTATGCGAAACCTAAAGTGGTATTTCATTTGTTACCGGTATTTGGTGTTAAATGCATTCAATTGTCTCGACACGACATGCCACCATGGTGACATGCATTCAATTGCCAGAGTACTGAACGAGAATGAATTGCACTGAGCAGAAAGTTGGTACAAGTACTAACCCTTATTGGGTTGTACCCCTTATGGGTTACCCCACTACAGCCTACACAATGTAAGCATTATAACATTTTGACACACCCCAATAGGCAAAGTGGGGGAGAACAAGTGGTCACAAGACCAGTCAAGAAAAGCAAAGCAAGCTCAGGGTGGATCACGAAGTCACCATACATTCTGAGCACAAGCAAAGGTCAGTTCACATGCAGAGTTATATAAAAGAGAACAAACAATACAGTGATCACACCCTTGCAAGTGTAAGCATGCAGGTATATATATAGATCACAGTACAAGCTAAGTCACGCAGTGAGCAAGTGAGGCAAAATAGGCACAATGCATAAAACAGTACAGAAACGCTGATGATCACCAGATTGAAGTGCCTTTGTGAATATATCAACAGTGTTGGCCCGAATGGCCACGTAAGCAAGACGAAGCTGACCACGCTGCTGCAACTCTCGAGCAAGAAAGTCACGCAGAGCGATGTGCTTCGTTCTGTGCTCCAGTATGCGCTCCTGACACAAGGCAATCATGGCCTTGTTGTCCACGTACAAAACTGGAGAAGAACGAGGCCGCTCTCCCCAGTCGGTCAACACGTAGATGAGCCAGCGTAACTCCTATGCAGCCATGGCCCCTGCGTAGATCCATGCATCACAACTGGAACTGAGAACAGAAGACGAGCGGGTAGACCGCCAAGAAACAGAGCCGGAGCCAAGGCTGAAAGTGTAAGCCTGTGACGACCGCTGCGTAGTCAAGTCGTCAACCCAAGAAGCGTCTGCGTGTCCAGTGAGGACAACTGGGCCCCGTCCTCCAAGCACGAGCCCCATGCCCGATGTACTACACAAGTAGCGCAACACCCTCTTAGCGGCCTCCCAGTGCTCTGGTCGGTGTCTCCCGGGCGCAACGTAGCGTGCCATGATGCTAAGAGGGTAGGCGAGGTCAGGTCGAGTGCAGGTCATCAGGTACATGAGGCAGCCCACAAGCTTTAGATACGGGCCACTCGGCTCTACGGACTCGTCCGAAGGTGGAGCTGAGAGCGAGTGACCGGTAGGCAGAGGAGTGGAATGTGGCGAGGAGTACCGGAAGCCGAAGCGCTGAAGGACCTGGTGCACCATGTGTGACTGAGTCAGGGTGATAGTGCATCGAGCTCTGTCCCGGGTAATTTGCAAGCCAAGATAGCTGCGCAGCTCACCCAAGTCAGTGCACGTGTGTCTCTTCTGCAGCTCCAACTTCACAAGGGCCAGTGCCTCAGTGTCGGCAGTGGCAAAGACCAAGTCGTCAACGTACACAAGGACATAGAAGTGTCGGCAGCGAAGTGTCGGTGCGTGGAAACAGCGACGGGTTAGCAGTCGAAGGAGCGAACCCAAGAGCCGCAAGTGTCGTCCTCAGTGTGTCGTGCCACTCACGAGGTGCCTGACGGAGACCGTAGACTGGCCGCCGAAGGCTCTGTCAAACATATGTGTATATTTGTTATAGTTTGGTTAGGCTTAGTGGGGTACTCACTGTGGGGTACAACCCCTTAGGTTTCTCCTTTGTATCTTTTCCCCTCGATAGTCGACACACAACTTTCCCGTAAGATTATGACATGGTATAGAGCATAGGTCCTTAGGACCTACGATTAGGGCCCACCACGATTGCCTGTCTTACCTAGTGCCTACGCGCGCCTCGGGTGGTCCTTTTTTTTTTCCCACGTGCGCCGTCTCAGCAGCCCGCGTAGCTCGTTTCGGCCCCGCCTGTGCGCCCCTTAAGCCGCCCGTGCGAAACCTGATTAGGCCATGCCAGCGTGGCCCGTCGCCCAGCGTAGCCCGTAGCGTAGCGACCAGCCCGCAGCCGCGCACGTGTGGCCCGTCGCCCAGCGCAGCCCGCAACTGCACGTAGAATGCAGCCGCGCACGCTGTAGCCGCACACAGCCCGCAGCTCGCGCAATCCGTCGCCGCGCGTAGCCTGCGGCCGCGCGCACTGCCCGTAGCCACGCGCAGCCTGCAGCCTCGTGCAGCAAGCCGCCACACGCAGCCCTCAGGCCGCTCCTGCCTGCTGCCTGCCTGCTGCCTGCCACTCCTGCCTGCCGCCTGCCTGCTGCTTGCTGCCTGTTGCCTGCCTGCTGCTTGCTGCCTGCTGCCGCCTGCCTGCAGCCTGCCTGCTGCCTGCCTACTGCTTGCTGCCTACAGCCTGCCTGCCTGCCTGCTTACCGCCTGCCTGCCGCCTGTCTGCAGCCTGCCTTCTGCCTGCCTGCTGCCGCCTGCCTGCCTACTGCCTGCAGCCTGCCTGCTTGCTGCCTGCTGCCGCCTGCCTGCAGCCTGCCTGCCTGCTGCCGCCTGCCTGCTTACTGCTTGCAGCCTACCTGCCTGCTGCTTGCTGCCTACTGCCGCCTGCCTGCAACCTGCCTGCTGCATGCCTGCTGCCTGCCTGCTACTTGCTGCCTGCTCTCGCCTGCCTGCTTGCTGCCTGCTGCTGCCTGCCTGCCGCCTGCCTGCCTGCCTGCTTGCTGCCTGCTGCCGCCTGCTTGCAGCTTGCCTCCTGCCTGCCTGCTGCTTGCTACCCCTGCCTCCTGCCTCTGCCTCCTGCCTCCTACTTGGTGCCTGCTGCCTCTGCCTGCTGCTTGCTGCCCCTGCCTCCTGCCTCTGCCTCCTGCCTCCTACTTGGTGCCTGCTGCCTCTGCCTGCTGCCTGCTGCCTGCTACCTCCTGCCTTAAGCCAATATGGCGACGCCTAACGTTCTAGCGTTCGAGCCTGACAGTCGTCCCATCGAGTTCAGTGTATGGTTAGACGATCTCCAACTGTTCCTTCTGACTGATGCCAAAGATGGCGTTTCCCTGTTTGATTACATCTCTGGCTCTGCCGTTGCTCCTGCTGCTGATGCTCCTGCTCTAGAACGCTCCCAGTGAGAGACTCGTGATGCTGCTGCACGTCTAGCTATTAGGAACCACCTGCCGATTACTAAGCGAGCGCATTTCAGCCAGCACAGAACTGCTCAGACACTGTACGACGCTGTAGTTGCGCGCTACTCCTCCCCGGCCACTGCAGCCATAGGTCGACTCATGCTGCCGTACCTGTTCCCCGATCTTTCCTCGTTCACCACTGCTGAGGACCTAGTTTCTCACCTGCGCGCTACTGACTCTCGCTTTCGTGCCGCCCTTTCAGCCGAGTTCTGCGCCGCAAACCCCCCCCCGATGTACTTCACTCTCTATTTCCTCGTCACCCGCCTCCCTGACACTCTTAGCTCTGTCAGGGACCACTTCCTAGCGCTAGACCCCACCACTCTCACTGTAGACGACTTCGAGAAGCACCTCCTCGCAGCAGAGAAGAACATCCTCGCTGTAGGTGCTGCTCGTGGCACTCCTCGCTCTCCCCTCTTTGAGGGGTGCTCCCCCTCCCCTCTCACCCCCTCCTACGCCTCCGCAGCTGCTGCTCACGACTACCTTGGTGCTGAGGGGGTCGGAGCTGCTTCCGCTCCCAGTGGGAAGCGTCGCAGCGGCAGGGGCGGCAGGGGTGGCAGGGGCGGTGGGGGTGGAGGTGGTGGAGGTGTGGAGGTGGTGGAGGTGGAGGCGGTGGTGGGGGTGGTCGTGGGGGTGGAGGCGGTGGAGGTGGTGGTGGGGTCGGCGGAGGCACTGGGAGCGGTGGAGGCGGCAGCAGCGGAGGTGGGGGAGGAGGGAGTGGTGGTGGCAGTGGTGGTCAGGGCCAGCAGCAGCCGCAGCAGCAGCAGCAGCCGCAGCAGCAGCAGCACCATTAGCGTCAGTGCCAGACCCCCACTTCCCAGCAGCTTCTTGACTGGTATGCCGGGCGTGGGGCTTCTGGGGGTCCTGGTAGCTGCCCCTATATCATCCGCACAGGTCCCCGCGCTGGTCGCCAGTGCATAGGTTTTCACACTGAGCAGCGCTGCTTCGCTCGGCTTAGCGACGCCTGGCGCGCCAAGTTTCCTGATGCTACTGAGTTCCCCAACTGGGCAGACTTGCTTAGGCGTGATGTACCTATCTTTGATCTTGACTATGAGGCAATTCTTGCTGCAATGTATGCCTTGTCTGTTAGTGCTGAGGGTGACTGCTACTTGTGTGTGCCGCCGGATCTTGGTATAACCCCTGGTAAAGCCCCTGCAGCACTAGGTGCTTGTGAGTCTGCTCCCCTTGGTACTGCGCCTGCACAGGCTTTGCACACCTTTACACTTGACTCTGGTGCTTCCCGCTGTTTCTTTCGCGATAGTACCACAGTCAATCCCCTCCCTGCACCTGTTCCTGTCTCACTGGCTGACCCCTCTGGGGGCCCAGTGCTTGCACGGTCTTCCACTGTGCTTCCGTGTCCGACGGTCCCGTCTGGTGAGCTGTCTGGTCTCCACCTCCCCTCGTTCTCTACGAACTTGGTGAGTAACGCTGTCCTCCAGGATGCGGGGGTTGACACCTTCACCCCTGGCCGGCAGCGTGTGGCGATTTGCACGTGCTCCCAGACTGGTCGCCACCTGGCCACGTTCGCTCGTGCGTCGGGGTCCAGTCTGTACACCCTCACCACTGCGTCACGCTCCGCCCCTTTGTCTCCCCAGTTGCACGCGTCTGCTCAGGTAGCTACACAGTGTGAGTGTCGCCGGCTGTCACACGACACTCTCCTGTGGCACCACCGCCTTGGTCACCCCTCCCTGCCTCGCCTACGCAGCATGCACTCCCGCCTCCTGGTTTCTGGGCTTCCCAGGTCTCTGCCTCCCCTCCCTCCCTCGCCTGCGCCGCCCTGCATTCCCTGCGTCGAGGGGCGGCAGCGCGCCGCTCCTCACTCCTCCTCGTTCCCTCCCACAGAGGCTCCACTGCAAACTCTCCACCTGGACGTGTCGGGCCCAG